CTGACATGCACAATTATCAGAATATTGAACTATTTTTTTTTAGAGAGAGAGATTTCTGCTATAGTGTGCATGCGCTTGCCAGAGACAAAGAGAGATAGAAAGCGAGAAATCACCCCCCAAGAGGGGATGGTCACGCCGCAATTCCTTCTCTTCCATTCTCCTCTTGGGATCTTGGGCATGCACGCACATGCGCCCGGTGTGAGTCTTAAGCCACCGGGTCCGGGACGTGAACCACGGTCGACTACGTGGGAGTCCAGCGACATAGCCATTATGCTAACTGCTGGTTCCCTATAGTCAGTTTTTTTTTATTTAGCAATCTAAATGATGTATAGCAATTTAATGTATGAATAATAATAAAAAACATTTAAAAATAAAATATTTAAAGATAGATCTTGATATTTTATTCCATTCTTCCAATCTCAACCTTTAAATTGGATAGTTTAATACATTTAGATTTCAAGGAATTACTCATTAGGAAGGATTTCTGTCTCTTTGGTGTTTATTTTCTATATGTCGTATTATCTCTTATATTCTTCAATTCTTGCATTTCTACCTTTCTCTGTGTTGAATTTTATTTTTCTAGTGTACCATTTTGATTCTACAAAGGGGATAATTTATATCAGTGTTTTTTCTTAATTTTTGAAGGCTGTCAAAGCCTCACCTGATAATTATTTTCTACTCCGGATCCTGCCCTGGTTTTATGTTAGACATTATAAATAACTGATATGATAATAAATTATTTCATGAACCCTTCCAAATATTGCATGAAACACATGGATTCAAGAGGATGCAGTTTGAGGGCCAGCTGGTGGATGGTGGTTAAAGTGCTGGATTCCCACGTGGCCAACCATGGTTCGAGTTCTGGATCCAGTGGCTTGAAAATCATACCAGGTATATGTGTATGCATGCCCAAAATCTTGAGAGAAAAATGGATTGCAGAATGGCCATTCCCCCCACTGCGGGGGTAGTAATTTCTAACTTTCTCTCACTGTCTTTCTCTTTCTTGGGCAAGCACACACACCCTATGGCGAAAAAAAGTTTCAAACTGATTTATTTAATTACTGTACTTTTTTTTTCTTAAAGTTATCTTCTAGAGGTACCAGCAGTTAGCGTAATGGCTATGTCACTGGACTCCCACGTAGTCGACCGTGGTTCGAGTCCCAGACCTGGTGGCTTAAACTCACACCGGGCGCGTGTGCGTGCATGCCCAAGATCCCAAGAGGAGAATGGAGGAGAAGGGACTGCAGTGTGGCCATCCCCCCTGGGGGGTGATTTCTCGCTTTCTGTCTCTCTGTCTCTCTCTGTCTGGCGAGCACACGTGCCCTATAGCAAAAACCTCTAAAAACAAATTATCTTCTAGAATCTAACTGTGTACTAAAATAATACAGCTTCATAGAATTGAGTCAAAATGGGTTCTTGCTTTTCTAATTATATCACCATTGCAAGTAATGGTTTCCTGAGTCTTAAAGATAAACAAGGCTAGTAATTTCACAAACTCCTTAAACCCTTCATTTACATTTATCACTAAAAGTCCTTTTTTAAGATTACCCTGACTCTTTGTTTTGTTGTTGTTGTTATAGCAATGCTGACTGAGGTTAGGTGATACCTTATTGTGGTATTGATTTTCATTTATCTTATGATAAGAAGGGCTTTGAAAATCATGTTGTTCCCCACAAAGGTGTACAACAATTAAAAGTAAATAAAAATTGTAAAGTAAATAAAATTAGAAGAAAAAGGATTATTGTGTGTCTCTTTTGTAATGGAAGTTTATTTATTTATCTTTTTGCCTTTTCTTATTTTATTAACATCTTTACTTTTCTGTTTTTAGTCTTTGTGAAGTAATAAATATTCTTACCTTCTGGTTTGGCTGCTGTGGGAGTGTAAAGATAGATTTCCAGTAGGTCCAGGCAAAGAACACAAAGATGGCATGGTAGAGTATGAGGTAGATAACTAAAATTAAAAAAAAAAGTATTTAAATGATATTTCCATCTATGAGTTTAAATAAACAAAGCTCAGTGACAAATTTCTATTTTGTTTTCTTACCACCAACATATTGTCTTTTTTTAATTTATTTTTATCTTTTTTGTCTCTTATTTTTTAAATTTACATTTATTCACTGAGCATTGTCACAGCATACAAAATGTAATTTCCCATCCAGAAGATGCTGCATAGTAGCTTAATCATACAATTATGTAGAATTATGTACTTTTTACTATATTTTTCAATTTCAAGAAAAGCAGATTTAACTTTAACAAATCAAACAAATGTCAATGAAATATGCTTAAAACTTAAAGCCAGGAAACAGGTTGGGGTTCTGTTCAAATAGTAGGTACATGAACCTATCAGCAGCTCAAGGCAAGACAAAAATCCTAAAAATCAGAAAACAAAGCCTAGAAAAAAATCAACAATGTTTTAGTAAAGTCATAAAATTCTATTTCACCAGTTCAGTCTCATGTACTTTATCTTTTGTTGTGATTCAATTTTCCCAATTAAATTCTGGGATATAATATTCAACTCCAGACTTGTTCCCACGATTAAGTTGGCCATTTTCTTAGTTTTTGAAGTCTTATTTCTGTGTGACTGTATTTAATTTTCCTAGTATGGCACACCCTGAAGAATTTCTTGGAGATCTGGTCTGGTGTTGGGAAATTCTTTCAGATTTTGTTAATCTGAGAACGTTCTTGTCTTTTCTTCCCATATTAAGGATAATCTTGCTGGGTATAGTATCCATGGTTGCAATTGCTTTTTCCTTAACACTTTGAATATATTTCCCCATTCTTTCCTCACTTGCATTGTTTCTGATGAGAGATCCACTGTCAGCCTGATGAGATATCCTTTGTAGGTAACTTGCCATTTCTCTCTTGACAATCTTAGTATCTTCTCTTTGTCTGTGGTTTTGCTCAGTCTGGCTATAATGTGTCTTGGAGAAGATCTTCTTGGGTTGGTTCTATTTGGGGTCCTTTGTATTACTTGGGACTGGATTTTTGAATGCTTCTCTAGGTTTGGAAAGTTTTTTGTCAGGATTTCATGGAATAGATTGTCAGTGCCCTTACGGGTCTCTTCCCATTCTGGGATACCAATTATCCAGATATTTGGATGTTTGATGGTATCTAGTATTTCTTTTATAGTATTCTAATGTTTTGGGACAATTTTCTCAGTCTTTGTGGTAGATTTTTCTAGGCCAGTAATTCTATCTTCTACAACTGAGATTCGATTTTCAGTGTGATCTAGTCCACTTTGAATACTTTCAAGGGAGATTTTGACTTCTTGTATTTATAGCCTTCATCTCTAACAGGTCCATTTGATTCTTTTTTAAAGTGTGTAATTCTTCTTTTAGATCTTGCAAGAATTTCCTCACCTCATGAAGCTTGTCAGCTTCTTTTCCCTGCCTCTTAAGCAGTTCATTGTCTCTCTTCTTTTCGATCTCTGTGAGCTTTGTCACCATGAAAATTCTAAATTCTTTATGAGATATTTCCATTAATTTCATCATACTGTCTGAGGATGAAGAAGACTTGTTTTTCCTTGGAGGAGAGGTATTATCTTGGTTTTTTATTTTTACATATTTTTTGTGACCCTGCAGTGATTTCTAGTCATCAGATGGATAGTGCGTTTTCTTGTAATTCTTGATGTTCAGTCTGAGTATTCAGAGGCATGCAGGAGGAGGTGATCTGCAATCTCTCTTCTGTTCCATTTTCACTCTTTGTGCATCAAAATCAGTGGGAATAGAGGAATATTCTGACTCTAACTGCATTAAGATGTAATCACTTGGACCCGTCTAGACACTTAGTGAGCCGAGGCTGAGAAGCAAATGAGTAAAGATTTAAAAAAAGAAAAGAAAAGAATTAAAGAAAAGGAAAGAAGAAAACATAAAATAATAAGAAAAAAAGGATATTAAAATACTATAGCTTTTAATATTAAAATGCAAAAATTGAAAGCTGCAGTTTACACAAGAGCTGTGCAAAAGCACTAGTTCACAGCTGAAGTTCAGGATCCATGTGGAGGTGGGCCTGGGTTTGTGCCTTTCCTAAACAGAAAGAGAGAGGTATCTATTAACACAATAAAGGGCCTTGAAAGCCCAGAGAATACTTTACCTTAAAAATAATTAAAAAATTAAAAGACTCAGACACAGAGAGACAGAGAGAACTGGAGACAAAAAGACAGGTAACACTACCCACTAGAAATAAATGAAAAAGAACTCTCAGCAGAAGATCTTCACTTTAAGTCTCTGAAAGCATTAGTTCACAGCTGAAATTCTACCACCACATATTTTCTAGTATTTCTATGAAATGTCAATTCTCACTATTTTCCTATGCAGTAACAGAATCAAGTTATAATGCCAAATTTTGAATCAGAGACTAACTGGAAGTTGCATGCTTTAAAAGTTGCTGTGTATAGGTCAGCAGATGGTGTGGAGGTTAAAGCAGTTAGATCCCACATGGCCAATAGTGCTATTTGAGTCCTGGACCCAGGCACTTGAAAAACACACTGGGTGCATGTGCATGAGTGCTCCAAAAGTCCCAAGAGAGTAATAGAGGAGAAGTTGTGGCATGGCCATCCCTCTAGGGAGGGGTGATTTCTTTTTTTTTTTTTCACTCTCTCTCAATGTCTCTCTTAAGTGAGCACATGCACCCTATAGCAACCAAAAAAAAGTGTCATGTGACTCTGAGTGAAGGGGAAAATGTCCTTCATGACAATGTAGGGGAAGCTATTTTAACAGATTGTTGTTATCTCTGCCACTGTGAGTGGTGATGATGATATAATTTGCATAGAACTTTAGAATTTACAACATGCTTTCAAATATATTATTACATTTTATTTTCCCAATAACTTTTTTTTGAGAGGTTTTTCACTATAGGGCACATGCACTCGCCAGACAGACAGAGAGAGACAGAGAGACAGAAAGCAAGAAATCACCCCCCCCCCAGAGGGGATGGCCATGCTGCAATCACTTCTCTTCCATTCTCCTCTCGGGATCTTGGGCATGCACACACACGTGCCCAGCATGAGTTTTAAGCCACCGGGTCCAGGATGTGAACCGCGGTCGACTGCGTGGGAGTCCAGCGACATAGCCATTATGCTAACTGCTGGTTCCCCCAATAACTTTCTGAGATAAGTAATAGGACAGGGATAGTTGATTAGTTGTTTGAGGCAGCTTATTAGCCAAGATCATAATCTAGTTTATAATGCAGCCAGGTGTTACACACAGAACTTCTGATTCTAAATTCCAAGTCACTTTCAATAGCCACAAAGACTACACACTTTTTTTGTTATTTACATTTAATCACTGTTCAACTTTACAGTGTACAACATACCTTTTTCCCATCATGAATACAATGCATATTAATCAAAGACATTACCATATATATTATCACTAACAGATAACTTTTTGTTTTTGTACCTGTTCAATATTTTGTGTTTTTTTTCATTGATCCTCTCCCTCCTAACCCTTATTATCCACCCCTCTTTTACTTATTCTAGTATCTACAGTTGCTTTTCCTGCTATTGTATCTTCCAATCTTTCAGTTTCTGCCATACCTGTAAACATTCAACTTCACATTTTTGAAGTGTGGCCTATACCTTTGAGACAGTTTGTAAAAGTGATGCCCCAGTCCCTCTCTTTTCATACTTCTTGCCTCTTAGAAAGCATTTTCAAAGTCTGCCATGAGAGCTGAGATCTAGTGATTTCAGAGATAAGGCAATGAAGATGTTCTCCTGAGAATTTATTCTGACAAAAGGAAAGGGCAGGCCAGAAGACTGAGTCTGCCATGAGAGCTGAAATCTAGTGATTTCAGAGATAAGGCAATGAAGATGTTCTGCTGAGAATTTACCCTGGTAGAGCCCCTGTATCCTACTATCTGTCTCTGTCTCATTCTGTCTCTCTTTTCATTTTTAAAATTTTTCTTTAAATTTTTTTTTTGGAGAGGTTTTCGCTATAGGGCACGTGCGCTCGCCAGACAGAGAGAGACAGAGAGACAGAAAGTGAGAAATCACCCCCCAGAGGGGATGGTCACGCCACAATCCCTTCTCCTCCATTCTCCTCTCGGGATCTTGGGCACGCATGCACACGCACCGGCGTGAGTTCTAAGTCACCGAGTCTGGGACGTGAACCGCAGTCGACTACGTGGGAGTCCAGGAACATAGCCATTACACTAACTGCTGGCTGCCTTTAAAATTTTTTTTAACTAAAATATTTTCTTGGCTCTGAAATCCTTCTTTATCTTGGTAATAATCCCCTCTCCTGTCCCCCTCCCATCAAGGCAAAAAGAAAAGGCAGGACTGTCCTTTCTCCTGCAGCACGTGTCACTTCCAGCTCCCGCCTCTGGCCAGCAAGGGACATTGAGGCAGGGGCACCTCTGACCTCCCGCCTCACTTCCAGGCCACCCAACCGAAAACCCCACTCCCTATACATCTCAGTAGAGTACCCCTATTGAGACCACATTGGTAAAAACAACAGAAGAGAGTTTGGCAAACATCAATTCACAGCAAAAGAAAAACACACTTACTCCTAATCGGAGAAATGTTCCCGTAAGAGGTATTCAAATGTGAATACATCTTCCAATGGCTAGAAGTAGAAGAAGAGCCTCAAGTCTGAATAAACAAGGAAATATGTCTCCACCAAAGGAAAAGGGTAACTCCATCTCACGTAATATGAAGGATGTTACCAAAATGTCAGACAAAAAATTTCAAACATCCATGGTGACCAAATTTTATGAGTTGGAACAGAAAAGAGACAATGAATTACAGGAGATTAAGAAGTCCTTCCACAATATGAAAGAAGAAATGGACGCTCTGAGAAAGAATCAGGTGGAACTATTAGAGATGAAGTCTGTAATACAGAAAATCAAAAACTCTCTTGAAAGTATTAAAAGTCGATTAGACCATGCTGAAGATCGAATCTCTGATGTAGAATATAAAACCTCTATCCTAGAAAAAAAACACCAAAAAGATTG